AACCCCTCTTCTCATAAGGGCCTGAGGTCTCCATTTTTGACCTAACCTGAAAATACACAAGCATAAGCAAACTATTAGTCACTGATTATGTCCATGTTATCAACATAAAATCAGCTTTCAACTGTTTTAGTTTTCACACATCGTCCCATAGTTTGAATGTAAGAAACTTTTCTAAGCAGGTATCTGACCCGAACACAGAACTGACAGCAAGTTTGAGTTGTTAACTTTATATTAAAAACACAATTTCAACATGTTTATATCCTGAAATGCTCCACACACAACATTGAAATGTGCTCATTTGCTTGATTAATATGGTATCAAGTAGAGATATCACAGAACCACAAGCTTGGTTGTTAGTCGTGTTGCCACTGACAACCAAGTTTGTGGTTGTGAGTTTGTGATGTTATATCGCTAATTCTGGATGCGACTCTGCCCTTTTTTTTTTTAAAAATGTAAGTGATTTGTCATGCTGTTTTCAGATACACTGTTGATTCTGCTCTACTGCTGGTGTTAGAAGGAAGTCAGCAAGTCTGTCAGAAAGCCACAGTATCCTGTTACTGCTTCAGCACAGTGGCATGTGACCTGACTGGCATTTATTGTACTTGTAGCACTTTTGATGCTGATGAAAACCTTTTACAACTCAGCAGTTTCACTCACTGAAGCAACAGTCAGCTGAAATACTTAGAGTCTGCTGCCGTATGTTGTCTTCTTATAATAGTAAAAAAACATTGCGAGTGGACTAATTTGTGTATTCAGTTTACTTTAAAACTGTTGAATCCAAACATTTATTATCTATTCGCAGCAACTGCCAACAGTTTTATATGCATGACAAATAAACTTGAACTAATGAAATACATAACGTCCCACAGTGGTAAGCTGACAAATGACATGTGTTGCATACATCTTTGTGTGTTGAAAACATCCTGGATTCTGTTCCATGATCTCTATTAGAAAACAAACATGTATATTATATTATTATTCTACAAGCAACCAACCATTTGCAACCACACTCGGGTGACAAAATCAATCTGAAGACCTTAAAAAGAAACGGAATTGACAAAGCCTGCCTTTGTATTCTCGCTTTGACACACTAAGAGTGGTGCTGCTGGTGGCATCGCGGTTGGTGCAATGCGCTTGTTCTAGCTGTGAGCCATATTTCAGTTTTGTGACTGCAGTATCATCTTTGATTTTATTGGATTGATGATCGAGGCCAGTTTAATCTGCTAATGGAAGGCTGATATTGTTAAAGGACAGACGAGAGAAGAGCAACATGAACTGGAGAGCAGCCAGGAGGCGCCGGTGCAGGACGGGTTCATCACAGTCACTTCGGTTTCATTTGTAGAGGCTTTAGAGCTCTCTGCAGAGTTTCGTCTGATGCATTGTTTTTGTCTGTAGAAAACAAAAACTGAGCTCCATTAAAAGACCAGATGGGATCCGACTGAACTGCTTTGGAGCCTGTACATTTAAGAGCATCTCCTATTCACAGTGGAAAAAATGCTCAGACAACATTGTTATCAACTCACGCCCTGACTGTTTTTATTTTTCAGCTGGCCCACATGATCCTGCCCGAGGATGAAAACTTCCTGTTAGTTTTTCGCAGAGAAGCTCCTCTGGACAACAGTGTTGATTTCATGAAGGTAAAGTCACACAATGCACGAAACAGAATTAGGAAATCATGAAACAAGTTGCATCCACTGATAATTGTAAGTGTTAGGACAGATGAGAGGTCAGGAATGATTAAACAGAAGCACTGAAACTACACAGGTGTCCTGACTGTACACTTGGAGTCAATCATTCTTTGATTCAAGGTGTATAATCTGAAGTTGGAGGAGGATCAAGAGGTGAATTCAAAGGTGCAACAAGTGAACGTTTTCCTGCTTAAAACTGTAAAACCAGACTGACCAGAAAACGGTCAACAGTACAGAGTGGAAAATATCTATGACTTGCACAAGCAAAGTATGAGGAAGTCTTTTAACAAGAGTCATCCACAAAGAGTTGAACACAGTGCCGTTGTTCTTTTTTAGCTTTGACAACAGCTTTTCTTCTTTTTTTTTTAACTGTCTAAACTGAATCTGCACTTGCGAAAATAGAAATTTTCCAACCATCAGTCCAACATTCGGCGATAGTCCAAATATTCAAAGGGGAGGTTCACGGATATTTAGTATTGTGAACACATCTGCACAAATTTTCCAAAACTGACTGCCTTCATTTCCTATTCTGGCGTAGCAAGCTCAGCATTTGGATAACTGTCACACTTAAACGTGGGCTTTTCTAAATACTTTAAGGCTGCTGACGGTAAATGAATCACTTCTGTTGGCATGAACTTGACAGTGGCTGCAGCTAATTAACCTCTCACACACTACAGCTGCCAGCTCCTGTTAGCTTTGAATTGCACTTTACAAGATTATTTACCAAGTTGAATCCCCAGTGAGGCACAACATTAAATTAGCAAAACAGAATGGGGGGGGAAAAAAAAGAATATATATGTATTCAAGCAGTGGCCCAACCTCTTGTATTTAATGCAGATTGCACCAACAAACTGCATTTTCTTGTAAATATTCTATGAACAACAGAATGTTAATACTAAGTATGATGATTTCACACAACAACCACCACCACCATCAGACCCACCCCTGTACATCGCATGTATGTCCTAATTTGCCCTCTTCACTCTGCTGCAGATTTGGAGGAAGTACGATGTCGACTGCAGCGGCTACATCTCGGCTCAGGAGCTCAAGGTCTGGCCGTCATTACACAACAGAACCAAACCTGAACACCTCTTTTCCTCTGTGGTGGCAGAAAACAACCTCACTGTTTCCTGTTGTGTCATCAAGATCTTTGTCTCATTCAGCTTCTGACACAATGCTTTTTGTTTAAAATACAGTTTCATTGTAGATTCTTGGTCAGATTTATGAACTACTGTGGTGAGTTTAGCATTAAAACACCACAACGAGCAGGAGAAAGATTCTTCTGTTGACATGCAGGTGTTTAAAATAACGTCTAATGGATGCTATGAATATAAATGCAGCTCTTTCTTGCATTTTAATTGATTATTGCATTTTATTGCCCCATTCAGTTCTTCTTAAATCTCTTTCTCACTTCACAAATTGCTAAAATGAAGCTTCCATCACGTTTGTAGAGTTTGTGAACTGTGGACTTGACTGTGTTGCTTTCTGATTCTGTGACAAACCATCTCAGGCCTTCCTGAAAGACTTGTTCCAGCAGCACCACAAGGAAGTGCCATCCGATAAGCTGGACGACTACACCGACACAATGGTAGTAACACAACTCACACACACTTCATTGCAAAACTCAAGTATAACTTCCTTGGTGCGGTCAAGGAAGATTTTCTGGAATCTACATAAAGAATGTCTGTGTTCATGCACAGCTAGTGCTGCTTTTAAACAGCTGGAGGCAGCGTTTTAACTCGGCTATGTTCAGTCAGGTTTCCTCGTTGACCTGTTTGTTCAATGAATGTTCCACCATTAACTCTAACTGTTAGAGTCTAACTGCTCCTCTGTGGCGGTACATTTACTACATACAGTGGTTGTATGGAGTTGATTTTAGATACTGTATATTTTAGATTATACCGAGCTGGTCAAGAGTCAAATCTTTTCTAGTGTGTGCTGTACACTAACTGTAAGGGGGAAAATCATGCAACAGTTGTCCTCAAAACATCATTTTTGGCAAGTTTATTTTAATGAGTACAAGCTGTAGAAAGCTAAGAATAATCCATTTGCTGCAATAAACAGCTTTTACCAAACTACTGCCAAATGAAAATGTGGTTCTCAATGAGAAGCTATTTTCAGAAGAGATTTTACACTTGTGACATCTTGTGATTTGATAATAATAATAATAATAATAACAATAACTGTATTTATATAGCAGCTTTTAATAACAGAGTTTACAAAGAGCTTTACAGACAACCAAAAGAAAAGAAGGATCCTAGAAGGAAGAAGGAAATAGTTACACATGGTAAAAGACTTTCAGAGGGAATCAGTACAATAACACCAGATAAGTAATAAATGAACCAAAAATGCCACAACCAATAAAATAAAATACAAGGTTAAAGCCTTCAAGGCTAGTAATAATAATAAATAATAATAAGTAGCAATAATTAAAGTAAATAAGAAAAAATACATGAGTAAATAAGTAAAGGGTAAAATAAAATGAACAAATAATTTTAAAAACTGCTAAATATATATCTTTTGATTTAATAAACTACATTATTTTGTGTGCAGCTGTCACAAAACACAGGTCAAAGAAAGAGGAAAATATATTTAATATTCTTAATTTTTCACCTTCTTGAGTTGTTTTTCTAGAAACTCCATCTCAGGCCAGATTTTCATGCAATTTTTTTAGATTTCAGTACATTTCATATTTACTATGTGCTCAAAAGTAAGAGAATGATGAGTCGAGGTGGTGTTAAGAAACAACTAGCAATAGGAAGTTTTTCATGCTTTCATAATATAGTTTATTTCTCTTGCAGATGAAAATCTTTGACAAAAACAAGGATGGACGTCTGGATCTGAACGATTTGGCCAGGTATGCAACGCAATGATATGAAAGTTTACATATTACATTTTTAGATTACATTATCTCAACATGAACTGAATGGATTTTTTTTATTGTGGGTTATATGGAGGCTTGTCCAAAGTGTTTTAAATTCTCAGATCAATGTAATTAATCAATGTTTGATAATTAATGCATCAAAGAATTCTACAAGAAAAAAAAAGACCAAAAGGGGTTGGTAACTGCCCAATAAGAGATGTTTTGTCTGTAATAACTAAATTATTGTGTATTAATATTAAAATCTGCATTTATTTTGAAGGATCTTGGCTTTACAAGAGAATTTTCTGCTACAGTTCCAGATGGATGTAAGTGTGTTTATTTGTCTCTTTTATGACATTTTTAACAACTAATTAGTGTCAGATGGGGAAAAAAAGGTGTAAATCTGTAGGTATATTTATCTCGTTTCTCTCCTGATTTATAACAACGTCTCTTACTGTATTCAAGGCCTGCAGCAAAGAAGAGAGGAAGAGAGACTTTGAGAAGATCTTTGACCATTACGATGTTGTGAGTACAGGAATAAGACAAATGATTACTGACATTTCACAATTTCATCGTACTGAACCTGATTACTGCCCGTGTTGTGCAGAAAAATACGTGAAAGTGAGTTTATTGTGGCTGAGATATTTCCAGGGTCATTTCTTGTGCACAGTTGATCTGTACCTGCCTGTTGACCTTTTGCATCATTGCAATAACAGCAAATCCATTGTTTTGCGATCATGTTTCATACAAATTGGGATTTAATGTAATGTCTGCTCCGTTTTGGAGACAACACAGACATTCGCTTCTTTTCAAAACCTGATTACTCTCTGGTGCACAGAGAAACAACTTGTCATTGAAAAATCCTGCTGGTATTTGGGAGGTCTGCGTTTGGGAATATTAGGAACTTATTCAACAGAGTGAAATTTGATCTGTCTTCATAACATCATGACTTTGGTATGTGCAAATATTAAACGAAAATAGTTACAAAGCTCTTTGAACATATTGTATAGATGGTAGCATGTCTAGATATCATGACATCGTCTCCATTGTGCTTCTCTAAAGTTCATGTCAGTCGTCCCTGTTTACATCAGTGTAGTTGCCCCCTCGCCAGAGGTCTCATCGAAGTGTGAATAGTCTCTAGCTCGAGTGCTAAGATCTAACAATTTGATGGTTTACAGGTGAACTAGGAGTGGCCTCTCCAAGGCACAATTAGATTTTTGGGTAAACCGCTGCAAAAATAGCTCTGCTACAGGTCAAAGGTCACTTTCTCTTGGGGCGGCTGTGGCTCAGGTGGTAGAGCGAGTCGGTCAATGATCGGAAGGTCGGCGGTTTGATTCCGCCCTGTAACCTGTGTCATGATCGTTGTGTCCTTGGGCAACACACTTCCCCCACCTTGCCTGGTGTGAATGCTGATGAATTTTGTTGGAGGGGCAGAATGGCAGCCACGCTTCTATCAGTCTGCCCCAGGGCGGCTGTGGCTACAATCGTAGCTTGCCACCACCAGAATGAATGTATGTGAATGAATAGTTGACAGTATAAAGTGTCTTTGAGTGCCGAGAAAAGCGCCAAGTAAATCTGATCAATTATTAATTAATTATTATTTTTCAAAAATGCTGTACAGCTTTAAATGGGCGGTGCAGATTTGCGACCACGTTGAGGTTTTCCGTTGGTGGAGTTACCATTTGACCTTGGACGATATTTTAAGGTCAAGAAATGTTGATATTGCCTTTATTTTGGGAATAACATGCAATGTATACATGGACAGTACCCATTTCACCTTAGACAACCAGCCAACCATAACTAATGAAAGAAAACACCTATGTTGTAGAAACTTGCAGTAAAGAATGGTTTACTGCAGCTCAGTGCAATCGTGGACGGCAGAGGCAGTTATGGCCCTCTACTCAGGGCAATCTACTTTTTAGATGTTTTGATGGCAATTTTGTGTTCCTAGGGAAAATAAAAAATATTTCTTTTTTGTTATTATTATCATGTTTCCTTCAGTCCACTTTTGCAGATTGAAAAGCAGCAATATTAAATATCATAATGTGTGCTGTAACATCTGTAATGGCTGATTTTACATTCAGATTTTTTGGAATTTAAAAATGAATGGAATTATATTGGAGAACAACTTTAAAAGCTCACCTCTCTGACATAAGCACATCTACAGACTCAGTTCAAAACTTACTCCCAAGGCTTCTCTATCTCAGCTTTTTGGAGATTTTATCAGAGTCACATGGGTCAGTGTTTTTTTTTTGTTTTTTTTTGAGACCACAGGAACATTTACGTCCTTTTCAAGACTGCAGTAATTTGTCCTCGTAAGCAGTGAATCAGCAATAAAATGTAGCTACAAGGGTCTTCTTTCTCACACTTTTATGTTTGTGATTTAAGCCTGAACTGATAGAAAACTCTCTGTCTTGCTGACTGCAATAGAAACTGCAGGCAGACTTTCTCCTTTAGCCTCTCAATTCTTCAACTTGCTATATCTTCCCTAATGTTTAAAGCGTGGATGGAGGACGCAGGAGGTTGTGGGTTCAAATCCAGGCGTGGACAAAAGTAGAGTTTGAACACAACTTTTAGAAAATGGTGTTTGTGCTAAATGAGGGGGAAATGCAGGATTGTAGTTCCTACTGACGTTTGCAGTCATGATGTAAGTGTCTGCATCACTGTAGACAGATACTACAACAGTATTCCATGGAGTTGGAGCCAAAGACAATAAAATATACAGAAATCAAAGCAGAATGCAGGACGTGTCACTATTAGAAAGGGTATCCATAGAGTAGGAAATACAAAAAAATACTCAGATTTGGCTTGGGACAAAGAACAAAGAGGATCAATAGACTGTTTCAGTTTTCTAATTGTCTTATCACCAGGACAGGAGAGTTATTCAATATATTGTACCACTGAATGGAGCTTTTGAGCCCAAGCAATAATCACCTCCACTTATACTCTTTGCCGATTGATAATATTCTCAAATTTGCATACTGTGTGCTGTGAACAAGAGGTCTGAGTACAGCGGCAGTGAATCCAATTAGGTCCTGTTATCTCTGTAATGAAATATAACGTAATAAGCAGCCGTCATGTAGTCGAGTCACACTTCAGGGTGACGAATTAGCTGTTATTCTGATTAATCATGCGGCTCTGGAGGTGTCAGGACCCACTGATAAGCTTCTCCTATTCTGTACAATCAGTTTTATGATCTTCTCAATAAGAAATATGAACAGATGAAAACCTTTTCTTCTGCCCCCCACTCAACTTTAATGTTCTGATGTGAACTAAGACAAGCACCAGTGTAGATATTAGTGTAACTTTGACACATCTATGTTTATAGTACAGTGTTACAGTTTGTGTTGTGATTAAAGTCTCAGCAAAATTTCAACATTTGATGGATTTGTTTTCACGTCGCTCTCTGGCTGCATTTACCAGAAGTTCAACTAGGAGCACAGCAAGAAGCTTTTTGTCACGCTTCGTAAATTCTGTGTTAATAACACATATTCACACATCATCTGTTGATCTTACAGAATGTGAAATATGTGAAAAGTTACTGATTTTAACATTTAAAGTGAATTTGCCCCGTGGCTAAACACCTCATTTTGCCTTTTTTTTTTTTTTTGTATGTGTATCTGCAGTAAGATTTTCAGACCTAAGTATTATATTTTTCTAGAAATGTGACACAGTTTGTAACCTGTAGGTTGATATTTCAAACAAACGTGAGCTACTTCTGTAAATTATTGTCAGTCAGGTTTTAGCAGCTAGAAAAATGTGAATATATTTTAACATTTAACACCAACAGAAAAGTGTCCAATATGTGGGATTGTTGGATCGAACTGCAACTGTAGATGGATGCTGAAATTTAAACTTCACAAAGAAAATTTAGAAAGGTGTTTGTTTCCCACTATTCTGAGGAGTTTTTAGTACTTTTTTTTTCCTGTCTGAAGTTTTACTGCTTTCTGATTGTGTATTTGAACTGTGTGAGAATAGTGAGTATCAACATAACAGAAAGTGCCCATTATCACAAAATGATGATAATAAGAAAACCAGATAAATAACTGATTGGATAATAAGAGTGGGATGTAAATCACAGGAACTAATCAGTGCTCTTTCCTCATGTCTCTTTTCTTTGTCTGTCTTTTTTTTTTTCTTGTTCAGAGTAAAACAGGAGCTCTGGAGGGTCCTGAGGTGGATGGTTTTGTCAAAGACATGATGGGGCTGGTCAGGGTAAGAGTCTCTGTGTGTTGTCCTTCTTATGTTTTGTAACGAACATGCGTTACGACAGGCAGACAAGTGTTTTTTCTTACTTACTTAATTTACTTCCAAAATAGTGTTATGAAGTGGGACAATACGACTACTACATCTGTTACGCTGCTACTTTCTCAACAAAAAGGAAAAAGGGGTCAGCGGCAAACCACAGTAATTTCAGTGGTTTAGTCGGGTGGCTGTGCACCGCCACATAGTAGCATTTAGTAATGCATGAGCTATTCAAAGAACATCAGTCTACTAAAGCATGCAAGGTGTTTCAGGAACATCTGTAAATTGTAGCATCAGAAAAACAACCTGAACTACAAGTCAGTAGAGTCAGAAGTGATAGGGAAAAAAAAAAGCCAAAGAAAACCTTCCCTTTACTAATCTGTTAATGTACAAAACGGTTATCTGCACCTTCCTGTTCGCAATCACTGAGATGGATCTGTTAAGAACTTACTAATGTGTGTGGGAACTGAACAAAAAGGGAAATATTTTGGGTGCACTTAAAAGTATGTTCTGGTGCATCTAAATGAAAAGTTAGACGCACCAGTGCAACCGATATAAAAACTTAGTTTGGTTCTCGTAGAAAAAAACAAAACACGTCAAAAAATGCAATGTTGAGGATTCTGCATTGAAATTAAACTACTGTACTGGCATGTCCAAAAAAAAAAAAAAGAACAATTGATCAATTTTCATATGAAGCATTTTGGAATTATTTTTCTTAAATCAAGTCCAGAGAAAATAATTTAAAAAATGCAGGAATGCACTGATGCAGCTACTTTGCTCAGTGTTACAATCTGATTGGCTGCATGTCATGAATAAAAATGTATTAACACTGAAAGAAAAATGTCAAAAATGTTCTTTTTTTAATAATATGTCAAACAAGCAAATGCATATTGGTCCCAAATATCAGTTATCAGCTTCATTGATCAGCATTAATCAGTATCAGCCCTTAAAATATGAAACACATTGGTGGAGCAGCAACATTTACATTCAGTCATCTCAAATTTATGAATGATGAATTCTGGGCACGACATGACAACATGTCTGTGTTAAGGAACCAAAATCCAACAGAATTCATTTAATAGAAAATGGTTTCTATGGCCTCAGTGTTAATATTTCTGAGCTAGTGGGTGTAATACTCTGACCTATGTGGGCAAACTGTGGCCTTCTGTTGATATCCAAACTGCTGGGTGACGCTCATTAATTATCCCACAAACTGATGCTTAACAGATGGAAACAACTTCCTTAAAGGCTTAAAAGCATCTGTGCTGTTTGCATGCTGCTCACACCACATTTCCAGCTAAATGACTTTTCCATCTGCAGCCCAACATCACAGGTCCTGATCTGGACCAACTGAGAGTTGTTCTGCTGCGCCACTGCGACGTCAACAAGGATGGAAAGATCCAGAAGAACGAGTTGGCTCTGTGTCTGGGAGTTAAACCCAAACCTTAGATCTGTATTAATGTATCCTGAGACACTGGCTCGGTGTGTATTGTACAGTGAAATATGCTAGAATGTTCTGATCCAGATCAGTCTGATTACGGGGTTATTTAAGGTCAATATTCATAAAGTTTGTCTGGACCCTGAATAAGTTAAAACCGCAGTTTGACACTATGTGATTAAAGATATTAAATGACCTGATATCATAGTTTCTCGTGCATGTTTAAGGACCAAAAGAAAACAATGAGATGTGTGTGTGTTTGTTTGTTTGTTTAAATGGCTGTGCTGTGGGAAGTCTGGTATATTAGTCAGTGTGCTGTTCAGAAAAACTAGAAGTAGCTTTTAAAAACAGCATGTTTTTATTGGCGGTAAAAGATTTTCTCAGAGCATACTGACTGCTACAAACATTTGGCCACTTGTATGTTTCTCTGCCTGAATAAAGGGTTAAGTGCAGGATGTTGCTTAATGTATTTTTAATATAATGATCAGTTGAGAAAACAATGATGGCGTATCGATGTTTTTTTTTTTTTTTCTAGTGTCATTCAGAAATCTTAAAATGTAAAGTCTTGAGAAGCTAGTGGAGAAGAAGTGGATGTTTACTGCATCGTCCATTACGCTGTAGACATTTAGAATATCTATAAATTTAAAATAATTCAAAAGGTAAAAGTTGGCAGCCTTTTGAATTTATCTGTTTCATCATATCATGTAGAACACTGACCAACATGTTTGGCAAAATGCAAATATAGAATTATAATCTTTAAGTTTTTTTGTTTTGTTTTAGCTTTTTTCTGGAGTCAGAGGCAGCAGGAGGACCAGCAGAATAACACAACAGGATTTTATCAGCTCAAAGGTACCACAGACTTAATTTAAGTGAACGATTTCTTGAAAAGCACTGCCCCTATTTATTTTTAATTTAAGGAAAAACAAACACAAAATATGTCAGTGGGGTGTTCGGACGCCACCCGAACAGCTACAGTTTATCTTAGCATCGATTCTCAAAGTCTCTAGAACTCTACAAGGCACAATGAAATACAACCCAACTGATTTTCAGAACAGAAAATGATGGTCATTGTTTATTAACTTTCTAGCACAATTCACATGAAGACACCACTTGACTCTGTGCCAGCGTCTTCTCAGCAGCGATACATTCTCTGCTACATGTGCTGCATACTGTGAACAATGGAGTCAGAGCCTGTTTTTCATTATGGTTGTATAGATACAGTTGAAACCAGAAGTTTACGTACGTTGTATAAGAAGACACATCACCCTTTTTTTTCACTGTCTGACATTAAATGTCACAAAATTTTATTCTGTTTTAGGTCAGCTAGGATTACCAAAATTATCATTATTATTAACTTTCTTCTAAGTCAGAAGTTGACATACATTTCCTTAGTATTTGGTATCATTGCCTTTAAACTGTATGACTTGGGTCAAACACTTTGGGTTTCTTTCCATAAACTTCTCACAATAGTTTGATAGAATTCTGGCCCATTCCTCCTGACAGAACTGGTTTGTTGGTCTACTTGCTCCACACACCTTTTCAGCTCTGCCCACAAATTTTCCACAGGATTGAGATCAGGGCTTTGTGATGGCCACTCCAAAACATTGACTTTGTTGTACTGAAGCCACTTTGTAACTAATCTGGCAGGATGCTTCTGGTCATTGACCATTTGGAAGACCCATTTGAGCCCAAGCTTTAACTTCCTGGCTAATGTCTTGAGATGTTGCTTCAATATTTCCACATAGTGTTCTTTCCTCATGATGCCATCTTTTTTGTGAAGTTCACTAGTCCCTCCTGCAGCAAAACACCCCCACAACATGATGCTGCCACCCCCGTACTTCACAGTTGGGATGATGTTCTGTAACAATGGTCATTATGGCCAAACAGTTCATTTTAGTCTCATCAGACCACAGGACGTGTCTCCAAAAATGACAGACTTTGTCCCTGTGTGTATTTGAAAACTGTAATCTGGCTTTTTTATGTTGCTTTTGGAGTAAAGTCTTCTTCCTCTCTGAGTATCCTTCCAGCCCATGTCAGTACAGGACTGGTTTCACTGTGGATAATGACGCTCTCTGATCAGCTTCAGCAGCATCTTCACAAGGTCTTTAGCTCTTTTTCTGGGGTTGATACGCACATTTTGCACCAAAACACTTCATGTCTGGGACACAGAACCCGTCTCCTTCCTGAGCAGTATGATGGCTGGACATTCACATGGTGTTTGCGTATAATTGTTTGAACAGGTGAACATGGAACCTTCAGGTATCTGGAAGTTGTACCCAAAGATGAACCAGACTTGTGGAGGTCCAGAACTCTCTTCCTGATATCTTGCCAGATTTCTGTAGATTTTCCATGTTGTCACAAAAGGAAGCAGTGTGTTTGAGGTGTACCTTAAAATACATCCACAGGTGTGTCTCCAATTAACTCAAATGTTGTCAGTGAACCTATTAAAGCTTCCAAAGTCATGACATCATCATCTGGGCTTTCCCAAATAGTTTGAAGGCTGAGTAATCTTGGTGTATGTAAACTTCTGACTTTGAAGAAAGTAATAAATAATTCTCAAAAAAAAAAAAAAAAAAAACTCATCGTTTTGGCATTTAGCAAACAGAAATAATTTTAGTAATCCTAACTGACCTTAAACATGATTTATTGTCAGACAGTGGGAAATAAAGGTTTATATTTTCTGTACTTCTTGCAGTAAACTGTAAAAATGATGCCACAGTAAGTAAAAATGTAACTGGAGGGTAAAAAAATACATCCAGAAAGTGTTTGGTGTTCTGAGGGCTAATTTGTCAGCCGTCTATACATAATATTATTTAGAGAAACAGAAGTCAGCTCAGGCTTAAACATGAAATTGAACCGTTCCACCAGACACACTGTAACACAGGTCACAGTGACCAACCAGCTGACTGGGTGAGTCTTTGTTAAGTGTAAGCCTCAGAAGGAAAACCGAACGCTGTTAAGTACATGGAAAACCAAAACCCTCCGGCCTAATGGACCTAAAAGCTTTACTGAGGCTCAGATCGCTGAGTTTCCTGTGAGTCTCCACAGAGCTGTGATACGAGCGCTGATACCATCTCGGTGCATGTCAGTGTGTGTGTGTTCATTAAACAGACTGTAGGCTCCACTACAAATACAAAAGCAGACTTTACATAGTTTGTTCATGTACAGTTAACAGATCCACTTGTGTGAGTGTTTATTGTGCAGCACAGGACAAAGAGCTTCTAGAACTGTGTGTGTGTGAGCAGAGCATCTGCCACACAGCTGCTGCAGAACAAACAGTTTCCCTTTTCACCTGGAACGCATTTCAAGCAAACGCAAACATGTACTGGCTTAAAATGTTAAGTAACTTTGATAATATTCTTTTTTTAAACTTAGTTTTCTGGCCTTTGTGCAGTGAGAGAGAGAGAGAGACAGGAAAGTAGGGGAGAAGACATGTGAGAAAGGGCCATGAGCAGGATTCAAACTCATGACCTCCACATCGGGACTGTAGCCCTGCACATGGTGAGCTATAGCGGTGCCCCTTTTGATAATATTCTTAAAAAATAAGTTAAATTCTCTATAAGAAAAAGAATATATGTATATATTCTGCTCCAAGAAAGAAGTAATACATAAAGAGGAGGCCAAAGAGAAGATATCTTTATTTTTTTTTTTAAGTATTTCTGTTACAATTAAGGCCAAAATTATACATTTCTTTCATTGTTAAATAATCTGTCAACTATTTCCTCGATAAATCAAAACAACCGTTTGTCATAAAATGTCAGAAATGGTGAAAAATGTTGGTCAGTGTTTCCCTAAATGTCTGGTTTTGTCCAAAGATATTCGGTTTACTGTCACAGAGGAGGAACGAAAACAGTAAATATTCACATTTAGGAGGCTACAATCACAGACTTTTTAATTTCTGCTCTTAAATCAGATCGATTAAACAATTATGAAAATAGATGTCAGTTAAATGAATTGCTGACAATGAACTGATTAATCATTGCAGCTGTGGTTATGATCATAAAGCCAAAAGTTCTGTCAGTGTCTCTGTCAGCATTTAGAGAAAATTCCAAGCAAGCCCTGAGCAACAAACCTTTAAATGCACCATCTATCAGGAAAACAAACTGTCAGTTATTTTACCTGAAAACTGCTCACTGTATCACACCAGACGTTTGAACTTCAGTCCAGCAGCATTCTCTTCATCAGAGTTTAAATGTAAAGTATTAAAACAAACAAAAACTAGGATGAGACAAGCTGCTCCCAGTCATTTTTATGTTTTCCAGTTTTTGGAGTCGAACTTTTATTGGTTTATGAATTTCCTATTGAATTAAGCTCCAATTTAGACTGAATCTGGAAAATGTTGCTTTAATTTCCTTGTATCCTCTGAAGATGACAGAAATAAGACTCTTCTAGTCCTGCTTTGAAACAAATCAAACTCCTTCTAAAGCATCAGCTTGTTGCGATTATAATGTAGAAATGGACACCTCTGATTAGAAGTTAATTCAATAAAAATGACCATGATGGCATATAACAGATCATATCTATGTTATTTTCCCTTTTTAAATCATTTACAGTCTACAAAATTGTTTCCATTGATTCAGTAGGGATGCAGCCTCCACCTGAAACAGCTCTGCTCCTGAACGCATCATTAACCCGTTAATTCTGTAAGTAATGAACCACTCTGCTGCATTGGTTCACGCTGTTCCACTGCTGACACATTAACAAGCGCTTCACCTGCGGCTTTATGGCTCTCGCTCGTGGGAAAAGGTTAAGGAGGGAAGAAAAGGACAAAGTGTGTTTAACCAGACCTTAAACATTCGTTCAGTTGCAAAAGATTTTCAGGCTGTGATTCCGACCAGCCCAACAAAATGCCTAACTGGGTTTCTTTAAATCAACTCATCGAGACTGGAAAATACACGAAGACTTCTTTTAAAGACTGATAATGTTTCTGAGCCATGATAACAATGTGAATAATCGTCAGAAAAATCTGCATTGTGGTCTGATTTGAAGTCTTAAACTTGAGAATAAAAGCAACAAAAAAAGTTGCTAAGAATTGCCTCAGAGCCAGGAAGAGTTTAGGGTGAAAAAAAATTACACAATCAACCAAAATGTTATCACTGTTGTTAGACCCAGTTCTTTTGTTGAAACAGCTCTAAGGAATAGTCGGAGAGAAGTTCAGGTCTCAGGTTAAACAGTTTATTCAGGTCACAGGTAAAGTTTTTACAGCGCTGGATTCAGAGGGACAGAGAGGAATCTCATGTCCAGCTGACCTGAGTGTTTCGGTTCCAGGTTCCAGATATCTTCTTGGGCTGGGCCTGCCCCGAACATAGATAAGATTTAGTTGGCCAGTTACTGATGGTGTGGACAGGCATCCTTCTGTGCTCTGTCCACGTCCTTGATATTTGGTAAGCAATGTGTGCGGATGTTGTTGGTGCGGCGTGTAGCTAAAGCAACAATCGTGTCTAAGAGAAAAGAGGAGTTTCCGCTATCTCCAGGTGCGCAAACCAGTTCTCACTGGC